TGCTATTCTGACGCGCATGTTTCTTTCGTAGAGGACTAAGGAACGCTATAACCATTCAGGCACTGACCTTTGATGTCATGCACGTATAATCTCGAACTTGTTTCCCATCTGAGCTCGCATTAATGAGTTACGGTATTCTTTTTGACCGGTGAGCTTTGGTGAACGCCTCTTTCATCACTTGTGCTATATTAAGGTTTCTACAGGTAAAGAGTTCCATAAATCGAACAAACAGGATTCTTGTTTTTCCTACGATGACGCATGTTATCAGCCAGCTGTTAAAGCCGACCTTATGACTCAAAATGCTCCAGCCGCTCAACAGTACAGCATCAACTTTACTCAAAAGGTAGTTGAAATTGGGGTGAAAAGGTCAGCGGTGATCTCTTAGTGGTCTGATAGGTCACTGTGTGCACATTAACCCCAACTCAAGAATAAAGTAATCTGATCCAAATTATGGCGGTAAAATATTTCATAACATAATATGTACGATTTGAATCCACTACACAACGAACAGCAACAGATACAAAAAGTGCAAGAACTAAGGCACAAAACAAAAATTATAAACTTCAATGACAACGTTGTTTATAAAATCGCGTAGTCACGACGCAATGAACGAAGTTGCACAGATTTAAGATGCTTTCAAGGCTACATCGGTTTGTTAAGGAAACCGCAGAGATAATCGTACTTTTTGTTCATCATAAGATTTTATTCCTCGACGGCTCATAAAAGGTGGGCTAAAATTAAAGATAAGAATAGAAAGTACACAACAATCAACGACTGAAGCATATGCATGGCAAGATGTGTTTAAGAGAAAGAATTCGTTTACAGCGGGACTTTTGAAAATTTGCAAAGAACCGAATTTGAGCTTTGATTGTCAAGGTAAAATGAGTTGAGAACTGTAAACATTAAATTTAGACAAAAGCTAATAAAAGCAAAAACTTGGAAAGTCAACAAAACAGATTTGTTTGTTTACAACGGATTCGACAGACACACCTTGTGCCCTTGAATCAGGATATGTCAATCAATTAAATATACTTAAGCGAACCCTGAGAAACACATTTTGCCAAAACCCTTGGACTAAACAATAAAATCAGCACTGAAAGTGGATCCATATCAGGCTCATCAGTGTCTGATCTAAAATGAAGTTATCTTTCTTGGGATCGATCAGAAAATGATTTGCATGGGATTCGCCAGCACTTAAACAGCCAGTTCCTTCAATACGAGCTTCCAAATGAAGATCGTAACAATCTCATGATTTCCAAGTAGAAATTTTATAATGAAATACGCTAAATTTTTACATTTAATCAAATAATTAAACTGCATACGCAACTGATGTAATTACATTAGTTAAATATTGCTAGGTACTCCTATATGAGCAATCACTTAGATATACCTATCATAAACTAAACGATAAAGATACATGAGCTAAAGTATTTTTTGAAGAAAAGTTTCATTCGACCCTTTTACTGCGACGCAGCATAGCTCATGTCATACGTCGTGGAAAATAATCATACAGTGTGGAAGGTCAAAATGTCAGAAAATTTTTTAAGTAATTGACCGCCCAGTTTCACTAACAAACTAAAGTTTACGTAGCAGCGAAACTGCTATGGGAAACAAAATTAAGTTTGAGAGGTCAATCACGTGACACATATTAAGTTCTATTATAAAGCTTAGTAAGATAAACACTGAAATTCTGAAACCGCTCAATTTTATGACTTTATTTGGAAAAATGAAAACAATTCTGCTTAAAAAGCAAACCATAGTCAAAACGTCTAGGAAAAAGACAGTATGTGCAGCTGGAATGTGTAGAATTCCTCCGTCACTAATATACCTACCATATCCTATAGTCTGCAACGAAATTATTAGCCATCGCATCGGTGCTGTCGAAGTTACAAATCTTCAGGTTTATCAAAACCATAAACAAAGCAAGATGATACTGACTCATCACATGTTCAAATGGGAGCCAAACGACGAGGGCCCGAATATAAATATTTAGCACAGAAAGCACACAGAGACAAGCAAAACAGGTATGTGTACGTGTTTCTATATTTGCTGAGATCCTCACTTTGAACCATTTGCTTTAGCAGACATCTCTGGTTCATCATGCCTACTGTATTCGCGGCTACTCAGCAATTTTGCTAGAAGAAACCGGTTACTGCATAATAGAAAAAATAATCGTCTCTGAAAGCAGGTCGCCCTATCTTTTCCGTCATTTTCTGCATGCTGACCTCCTGGCTGACATTTGCCATGTCTTGGCTCCCATTAGAGAATGTCATGGATTAGAGTAAATAGCTTATGCTCAACAAATTTGTCTAACAGGGTCAACCTTCCGTTTTAACCTCCACACCTGCAGTAAATTGAGCAGCGACTGTCCCCATGCCATACAACAACACTGACTTGACAGACACAAAGTACAGGCAAATGTTTGTGAAGAGTCACTCCTTTCTCAGCCTAAATATTTGACAATTCTAAAAGCATTCAAGGCTACAGTAATCCTCCTATTCAATTCCGTTTGGATGGTCTATCGACTGAGATTATGGAGGCATATACCCAAATTTGCTAGCCCCACAGTTTCACCTGTATATCAAATGTGCCGCGGCAAACATTGACCTCAGAAATACTACCAAGGGGCAGATCTGAAGTTACACGAAGGTATTTCTTTCATAGATATTGTTTCATGGAAATCGTTCAACTGGCAAAAAATAATGCGACTTTTCTTGACGTTCAGCGAATATCATAAATTTAAAGCCAGCAACTCTTGCTACAAAAATTAAAAGACGACGATACTTTAAATTTCTGTTATTGAACAACCTGCCCTTTGATTTTCAGCCATTTCAAGTCATAAGTAATAAGACGCAATTACCTGATCAGGTGGCACGTGTGGAACATGTGAAACATCGTCCTCTTCGTCGCTGTCTTCTTCTCCACTTGATTCGTTGTTTGGAACTAAACGACAATGAGGTAATGTGCAGCGCTAGCAACATACAGATTCTAAACAAAGTAATAGCGGTTAATCCACACAGAAATCAAGGCCACGAGCCATCAGCCGTTCATGATAGTCCATTAACAAACTCGGAGACGGGAAAACGATTCCACAAAAAAATCCTAAAGTTAATTTCAAAGAGAACACTTACCCTCATTCCCTTGATGCAAGCTAGAGTTGCTCAGGCTCGTTCCTTTGGAACCTTCGGTCAAGTTCTCGTAACAAGTTACACAAACACGCAAAGGTTTGTTTGACTGATGAGGCAACAGAAATCGCTTATTTGAACAGGCGCCGCATACCACTGCACCACATTTCCGACAGTGATGCTAGAATTTCATATGAATGAAAACCAATCACTAAAAATTAATAAGCTGAAGCAGTGAGCTACTTAGTACATATAAACATTTTACGTAGTTACTCTCGCGACTCATTTTCCTCTCTTCAAGCACTAAAACAAGATATTCATTTTTTCATTCTCAAACCGGAATAGGCATGATTTTTAAAGAATGTTGAAGCGCCGCTTTTGTTACCTTATGGCTAGCGAGAGAAAAAAACAGAAACTCTTTGTGCACAGACCATGAATGGACATAAGTCATAATCTTCACCATGGTAACCATTAGACTACAATGTGGGTTTATGAAAATCAAAGTATATCTTACATCAAAGTTATTTAACGCCGTGTTAATAAACCGTTTTCGCCATGCTTAGCTGAAGGGCTAAATCATCACATCACAATGTAGCATTCGAAAAGTGGCCTTACACGCCTCTGAAACACGGTAAATTCGGTTTTTCGACAAATCATGCAAACGGGTGCGTCGCTGTCTGGAACCCATACTGCAGCATGTTCTGTTACTGGTGCTTTCCCGCCTAAAACATTCAACATAAGCAAACAAAAAATTTTAATATGGAAATAAATACTCCAATGAATGCTAATGCCGATTTTAATTAAGCACAGGCAGCGGCAATTTCACGTTGCGAGAATTTAATGACTAATTCTATTAGTTTATTTCAAAATACTTAAACTGAAACGGTTATTGGAAAACCATGACGTCAGTATGATAAATTAATAACCAGACAAGGCAAGGTAGAATACTAGGATGGTAGAAGGCCAAGCTAGCGATGCAAACATCGTCAAATAGCAGATAACTCTTCAAAGACCAGGTTTTACGGCGTATTGCACTGCCCACTTGCTCATAGTTGCCCAGGAAAGAGGAGGGTACTTTAGCAGGCCAGCGATCCATAGCATTTTAAAACCTGTAATACCAGATGCATCGCATCATTAATGATTTCCTAGGCAGCTAGGAGCAACGGGCGGTGCAATATGTAGTGAAATTTAGTTTTACAGGAGGAAGTTATTACTGGACATACCCAGGCGTAAGAATAACCTGATGCACAAGCGGTAGCATACACGGAGTAACAGTTCCTAAAATATCGTTCCCGATGAACGCGAGGTAGTTTTGGCGGAAGAAATGATGAGATATATCTGAAACTTCAGGTGCTCAAATATCATGGAGCTGTTGCGTGCTTAAACGGCCCCATAAAAAATTAGGAGCAAGAAGATGGTGCAATACGTCGTGAAATCTGGTCTTAGATTAGTCATTCGTTATTTTACGTGCTCAGGCGTACGAATAGCTTATGACGTTTAAATGAAAAGATAGCGGGTTATAATCGTGGTTGGAGACACGGTTCATCGTTCTACTGTTGATAAACGAAACAATATCCTTGGAACTTGAAATGTCTGCTCAATGATGGCAATCAAACAGAAACTAACTGAATAAACACAGCGATAGGAATTTCATATAGTTCTATTTCACCATGATCATAACTGCGATGCGTTAGGAACATGATAAGAATGCTAAAGGAGTAAATCGCAAGGCCTTCCAAGCCACATGACAAGTGGAGCGAGGACCGAATAATGTTGGTATTTTGAGATCTGATATTGCCGCCTTGGAGTTGACCTGACTGGCCGAGGGTCAGTAACACTGAAAAACCCTCCTGAAGCTGTTGCCCTGAGACAAAATAGAAATCGGATCATAAATTTTTTCAGCACTTACGTTACCACTACATATATTCAATGCGTTATGGTCGGGAGTGTTCGAAGGCTTACTTTTAGAAAGCAAATCTTTGATACAACGGTCGATATGGGTCATCCATTGGCGCTTCTCGTTGCTATTCGCCGCGTAGACCGCAAAGGATTTGGTTGGCGTGCGAATCAGCCAGCCGTCTTTAAGATCTCAAAGTTAATAACTTAAGGGGTCAACAATGGCATTCTACTGCATACCATGCATCGCGTCGTCATCTGGCAGGTCTTCCAACTGGACAGTGTCCAGCGGAATAATGTGCTGCTTGTTGAACTTCCGCTTCGGAATGACGATGTTTCCATAAACGAGGATGTCGTTGAAGAGATAAAACTGACGCGACTTCGCCCGCTTGCGACACATCTTCATCAGAACACCCTCGCCAACCAACGCGCGACCCGGAATAGCAAGAGGCTGAAATGAAGAAGACTGCTTTAAAATCTGAACAATAAGCTTACCAATACAACGCTGTTACCTGGCCTGAAGCACCAAAGCAACGTTCGGCATCAGCTATACGGCGACTGTTTGCTTCACTGTTGACTAAAACAAAAACTTACGGTTAATATCACAACCGCGAAAATTTTTGAGGTAAAATGATAGGCAAAAATGAAACTACTTAAAATATACCAATACATGATTGATAAAATTAAACTAATTTGGAGAAATGATTTGTATCAACTTTTAAGGATGAAACACATGGCTCGAGTTAAAAAATAGAGGAATACTAGTAATTTCCCTTAATTCTTCTTCTCTATGATTATAGATTTGAGAAAATGGTGGAAAGTCGAAAAATGGCTCCGGCTAGATCAAATGTTTCAACTCATCAGGTCTTACTATATGGAAACGGTGACATTTCAACGCCGTAAATAAAATTCAGAACGTAAACTGATTTATATAAATATTTATATATTTCATACATAAACAATGCCAATAAAAATTAATATTATTAAATTCAACACAC